GTGACAGACAGAAGCAGACACAGGAGAAATTGGCCTGAGTCTTAACTGAGTTCCTACGGCCTGGCATCGTCCACCTATTCATTCAGCCATTCATTTATTCATTCAAACAAATATTTATTGTGGAAAGCCAAATACTGTACTAGGTACTGGAGTTAAATCCAGAGAGATTAGGTGAAGAAAAAAAGATTCAGGGGCCAGGGATTTAGTTCAGTGGCACCATGCCTGCCTCGAAAGCATAAGGTCCTGAGTTTGATCCCTGGTATCAAAAAAATAGAAAGATTCATGTCCTCAGCATTATGGAGCCTCAAATATTCTGGTAGGCAAATGAAGTATGAAAGAAATCAACTATTAAAATAATTATGAGAGTGTGGTCCTGCCACTGAGTGAACTAAAGGAGTGGGAGAGAAGTCTGGATACCCACCCACAGTGCAGACAAAGATGGCAGTGCAGAGTGGCCACCTCCACAGAGCAAACAACAAGCTTTTTCAACAATGTGATGGGCCAAGTGGTGTCCACATGGAAGCATCCTAAATGAGATCCCTACCTCACACCATTAACACTGTCATTCCCAGTGGGTTCAACACCCAAGCACAAGAGGCAAATTAATAAGGTTCTGGAAAACAAAATAGATACAAATCTTCATGACTTCAGGGGGAGGGAAGACTTCCTCAACAGGACACAAAAAGCATTTCCCATGAAGAAAAACACTAAGACATTTATTCAAACAAAATTAAGAACTTCTGCTCATGCAACAGCTCTGCTAAAAGAGGGGAAAGGCAGCTCACATAGGAGAGAAAGCAATTTGTAAACTTGCAACTGACAAAGGGCTCCAAACACATTCAGAATCCATACAGAAACTATGAACCAATAAGAAGACAGATCATCCAAACATTTTTTTAAATGGTCAAGAGAATACTTCACAAAAGAGGAAATCAGTGGTCAGTAAACACATAAAATGATTCTCAGTTTCCCTGGTCATCAGGGGAAGGCAAATCAAAACTTACTGAGACATCTGCACATGCCCACCAGAATGAACAAAATGTTCAAGTCCTACAATACCAAGTGTTGCCAAGGATGCAAGGTAAGATAGTGCTGGCAGGGAGAATGGATTGGCATAACTACTTTGAAAAACCGGTTAGCAGTTCTACTGCAACTGAAGACCTGCATGGTCAAATACTTGGCCATGCTACATCCATACTTCTGTGTGTGTGTGTGTGCGCACGTGCACGCTTACACACACACACACACACACACATGCATGCCATATCCAGGAGTATACATTTCTGTACACTAAGAGACATGTACAAGAGTGTTCACAGCAGCACTATTTTTAATAGCTCCAAGCCAATGGTGGTGAGATTTGAGTAGAACAGATAAAGAAATTGCAATATTCAACTCAATGAAATCCTACAAAGCAATGAAAAAAAAGAATCATCACAATATGAAAGAATCTTAAAAAATAATATAAGCAATAAAATTAGACCCCATACTATATAATAACCCATACTGTATTGCATCCACTTTTATAAAGTTCAAGGAACGGGCAGATGAAAGGTGTATGTGGAAAATTTTTGTACCTTCCACTCAAGTTTTCTTTGAACTCAAAACTTTTCTAAAACACAAAATTCCATTAAATTTTTTTTTTTTTAAAGAGAACTGGGGATTTAGCTCAGTGGCACCATGCCTGCCTTGAAAGCACAAGATCCTGAGTTCGATCACTGGTACAAAAAAAAAGAAAAGAAAAGAAAAAATCAGGCAGAACTAAAAATGTCAGAATTAGGGATGCAAGGTGAAAAACAGCATGCCCAGTTATATTTGAATTTCAGATAAAGAATAATTTTTTATTAATCATGTCCTAAATATTTCATGGGATATTTATATTTAAAAATGATTCTCAACAGCCCCAGTGGTACATCCCTATATCTCAGGAGGCTGAGGCAGTTAGAAGTTACAAGCCAGCCCTAGCAACTTAGAGAAACTGTCTCAAAAAATAAAATAAAATAGAATTAAAGGGGCTAGGATGCACCTCAGTGGTAGAACACCCAAATCACACAGCCTATAGAAGGTAAGGCCAAGATTTAGGCTCAGGTAGTTTGGTTCCAGAGCCACAATTTTCTTTTTAAGAGGGGTAGTAGGAGGGCTATAAACCACTGGGCAAAGAGATCCAATTCAGATTCACTGGCCTGATACTCAGAGCCTGCACCTTGCAGCCTGCCAACCTCTCCGCTTGGGCTCTCACCCCTGCCTTCCATCACGTCACCATGCATTAGCCCACGCCAGCCTCTCCTAAGAGGCCTCCTTCTGAGTTTCTGCCCAGCAGACATCAGGGCTGGGCTCCAGGGCACTGGCAGACAGCCTCAGCCACCTCCTCTGCCCTGCTTTTCCTTGGTACCAAGGTCACTATACCCCAAGTGCCCCAAGGGACTTCACAGGCTGCAGGGGGCTCACTGAGACCTGGATCCTGTGAGCACCAGGGAGATGGCAGCTGGTTCCTGGGGGCTCAGGGAAGCCTCCAGGCCCCAGGTGTCACCCTGTGTCATCAACCAGGACAGCCCATGGGTGTCCCTGATGCACTGTGTAGGAGCAGCCTTCCCTGGAGCCCCTCCACCCACACAGGCCCATGCACCCCCAAATGCCCACCTCTTCCTAGCTTGTGAGTTCCCTTTTTGTCCCTCAGTGTCCCACGTCCTCCAGGGAGCCCTCCTCCATCACCCCACACTTTGGAGCATATGTGGTCTCTTCCTCCTGTGTGTGCTATCCACTGGACATCCTGTGGCCTGTCAGCACTCCAAGGGGCAACTGATGTGTCCCCTGCAGAATGGTGCTGTGGCTTCTATATAGAGGTCCCCCAAGAGTCTCAAGCACTCACAGGCAGAGCTGTGGAAGGTGACTGGGTTATAGAGGCTTACAGCTGACTTGCTATTAGGAAGTGGGGTCTGGTTGGAAGAGGCAGCCATTGGGGTTGTGGCCTGGAAGGGTTTATCTCCCTCCCCAGCTCCTCCCTTTTCTATCTGCTTCCTGGCCACCATGAGGTGAGTACCTTCTCCTCCACCCTGCCCTTGTGCCATGCTGTTTCTTCCTTGGAGCCAACCATGGACTCAAATTTGAGCCAACATAAACCTCTCCTCCTTTAAGTTGCCAGTGTTGTGTCTTAGCAACAAGGAAGTGACTGTGACAAATGGGGAGAATAAATCAGTCCTCACGGGGCTGAGGATGGATTAGAGAAAATGGTTCTGGAGCCATTAGACCAGGGTCCAGCTTACTGTGCTTGCTCAGAAAGTTTGCTGCTGTCACCATCACCCCCACTACCATTGCCGTTGTCTTAATCATCACTTGTGGGAGACCAGATAGGAAGATTGAGGCCTAACTGACCCCCTCAGTGAGAATTAAGAAGAAAGACAGCATGCAAACATGTTGACACACTGTAGGGAAAAGTACAAATGGCTGAAATCCTGTTGTTTACCCAGACAAGTACCAGGGAGGGTGGGAGACAGATGAATCCTGGGAACTCTAATTGCTTGTACCTGTGTCTGAGTGAATAAAGCCAGGGTGTGCCAGTCCCTCGGGGCTCTCCATTGAAGGGAGACAAGAGCCCCCCAGCCCTCCACATTTTAATCTGATTCTGTCTTAACTTTTCATGCTTGTCACCCCTTGGTCAGATGTGAGCTCATAGGCTGGTTCCCGCAATCACTGTCATTGTCGTCACCAGCATCATCACCATCACCACCACCCTCATCACCACCATCATCGCCATCATCGCCACCATCATCGTCATCATCACCACCATCATTGTCATCACCATCACCAGCGCCATCATCATCGCCACCATCATTGTCATCATCACCACCATCATCGCCATCATCACCACCATCATCGCCATCATCACCACCATCATTGTCATCACCATTACCAGCGTCATCATCATCGTCATCACCATCACCACCATCATTGCCATCATTATCATCACCATCACCAGCGCCATCATCACTACACCATCACCACCATCAGCACCACCAACACCACCATCATTATCACCATCTCCATCACCACCAGCAGCAGCATCATCCTCATCGTTACCATCACCACCACTACCACATCCTTACCACTGCCATCTCCATTACTGTTATCACCATCACCACCATTGTGATCACCATCACCATCATCGTCATGCCGTCAGTCACCGTCATCAATATCATTACAGTCATCACCATCACCATCACCTTCACCATCTCAACACCATCACCACCATCACCATCACCACCATCATCACCATCACCATCACCACCAGGGCTCCCATGGACACACTGGCCACCACCCAGCCAGGCGAGCCCAAGCAGAGACCTCATCACTCTGCGTCTCAGTGAGAACAAGGGCTCAGTATGAGTTGGGTTTTTCTAAACATCTGCTGCCCCCACACTGTCAGCCAGTGTTCTGGCACCCAGGACAGTTCCGACTGCCTTTCCTTGGTCAGGCTAATCAATCTTCTGCCCCATATATTTTTTGGTGTAGGGTTAGAACACAGGCACTAGAGAGAGACCCAGATGCCATAGGATAATGGTTAAAAGCAGGAGTTCTGGAACCAACATGCTTGGGTTTAAGCCCAGCTCTGCTCCTTTCTGGCTGTGTGACCTTTAGCAAGGTCCTCACCCTCTCTGTGCCTCAGTTTCCTCACCTATGAAATAGAGACAACAGCACTTGCCTGTATGTAGGGCAATGTATAGAACAGAGGCTACAGCTGATATTATCCTTCCCTGGTTACATATGGGGAAACTGAGGCCCAGAGGGTGACAATGAGCTACCTGGAGTCACACAGAGGTTGGGTAGGGGGGGATGAGCTTCAGTACTGGTTCTCATGATCCACAGTGCCCATCCCCACCACCCGTACCTCCCTGCTCACTCAGCTCAGCTCTGTGCCCCAGCGCTGCAAGGGGAAGACCCCCCAACCCTCTTTGTCCCTCTCGCCCTCTCTGGCCATCATGAGGGGTGCCCAGTGCACTCACCATGGGGAGCCATAGATCCGGAAGCCCCGCACTGTGACCTCTGAGTCCTGCAGGTAGATGCAGTTGGTCAGCAAGGACTGCACATTCTCATAGTTCTCAGGCTTCAGCTTCGACACAGATGGGAAGTAGTAGAAGTCCTGCTTGATGAGGTCGGCCATGAACTCCTGGTCAAAGGTCAGCTCGTGGTTGCCGGCGATCACAATCTTGTACTCATAGGGCAGGCTGCCTGCGGGGTGGACACAGACAGACACAGCGTACCATGGGTGGCCCCACCAGAAGCCACAGAGCCCCCTGAGTGAAGGACGGCAGCGGTGTCTCAGTTCCAAGAAGGCAGCAACCCATTGTTGTCCACAGGACCTTGTCTGCCTTGGGAAAAATTCCAGTGCCCATGGTCTAAATGGAATCAAAACATAGAGGGCTTACATCGGAGCCACTTCCACTCTGCTATGTGCACATCCCAGGCTGCTCCCGAAGGCTGCATGAGTCCCCTCCTTCTGGAGGCCCACTCTGTAGACAAGATGCCCTAAACAGGAGAGTGTGTGGACTCAGGGTGATCTGGCATGGGCTGGGTGAACCTGGAGTTCTTTGTCCAGCCCCTCCCAGTAGGTAAGGCCCCACAGGGTCAGGGGCATGTGAGGACAGGGTGTCCATTCAGCCAAATGTGTATCATTGTGTTTAATCTGATTTCTGAAAGAACAGTGCCAGAGATGCTCAACTTTACAAATCCAAGTGTTTCAGCAAGAAAATCACTTCTGTCCTGAAGTCTTCAGCAGCTGATAAATGACTGCTTGGGCCATCCCAGGGGCCTCCTGGAGTACACAAATACAATCACGCCAGGCACTGAGCTGGGCTCTCACATCTTCCCCGTTATGTGGATGTGGAAACAAGGCAGGTGGAAAGGGAAGGGCCATTGCTAATAGGATCTGAGCTACCAGAGAGCCACACCTTGCACTGTATCCTCTCTGTTCCTGGGTGGCTCTGAGCATCACAAAGTCACACGCAGGGCAGTGTCCCTGCATTTAGAGCCAGCTGACCTTCTTTCAACCAGGAAGTCACTTAGCCTCTCTGCACCCGGTTTCCCTGCTGATCAAGGTAGGTGTGCCTGGTGACCAGCCCTTCCCAGGGCCTGAGGACCCTTTCTGCACCTTGGGCTCCACTGTGTACCTTCTCTGGGATGCCCTCCCCTTCTAGCCCTCCTGCCAGGCCAACACACAATCTGTCTCCCCAGGACCCCACAGCGATCCACACCCCAAGAGCTTTCCCCATGCACAACCATGACATGAAACTCTGTCTCTTTGACTCTGTCTGCATCCCCTCAGGAACCAAATTCCAGAAACACCTCTCCTCCACTGTCAAGGAGTCTCAGAAACTGATTGGGAAGACACAGCTGCCACGGGGGTTCCAGGCAGAAACTCATTCCCCAGCCTCTGGAGAGCCCCAAAAAGGGCAGGGTGCTGGTCCGGACATGCAACCCAATGCCATTCTACACACTGGAGCCATGACCACCATTACATTCTAATCCCAATGGGACAGAAGAGTCCAGAAGGCAGGGACAACATCACACCTGCCCAGCTGGGGCCATAGTCAGCCAGCCACGTGCCCCACAGCCACGCCAAACAGCTCTGAATGACCACGGATTCCCAGGGGGCTGCTGAGGGCAAGCCAGGCTAGTGGGTGGGGCAGAAAGCCACAGTCTGCCCTCGCTGCCTCAGACACCCCAGGCTTCTGTCCAGTCAATTCAGCTCCAGGAGGTAATGAGGACCTGGCAGGCCATGGGCTCCTGGCTGTAGTCACCTGGGTCCCTGATCCAACTCACCACTATCTTACTGTACAACTTAGCTCCTCCATGTCTCAGTTTCCTCACCTATAAAATGGGATCAGCAATATCCCCCTTACATGCTGGTCTTGGCATTATAGAAGATACTGAAAGGAAATGTACAAAAACTTTTGGGAGAAAAAGTCAGCTTCCCATAATTTGCAAACTAGCAGCCTGCTGGCCAGACCCACCCACAGACATATTTTGTTTGGCACAATGGTTTTCTAAAAAATTAAATTTGTTGCCAGCATTAAAAATTTGAGATTTCGCCGTGAAATTTCACTCTTTCTGTTTTCTCAAAATAAATAAATAAAATGTAACATTCAGCAGTGCAGGACCAGTCAGGAAGTGCTGAGTACCTGTGTCCCCCTTAGACAGGACAAAGACCTCCAGCTCACCCCAGTCCCCACCTGCCCCGACCACCTTGCCCTGGGTCCACTTTACTTGCTTTAAAGCACCACCTGCTGGCTAGGTATCTGGGCTTCTGGCCCTCACTGCAGTCCCTGGAGACTTGGAGGGGACAGAATGGCCTTGGCCCAGGTTGGGGCCTCTAGTCCGGCCGTCAGAAGGAGCCTTCAAGCCCATGCAGCTCCCCAGGCCTCCACCCTCCCAGCCTGTTCCCTGGGCCAGGGGTGCCCAGCAGGAGAGCCCCGAACACGGGAACATTTGCTTCACCCTCTCTGTCCCCAGCAGGTCCCAGCACAAGTCTGGTGAAGGAAGACACCAACAGCACCACAGGGAAGCCTTCTGCGCCAAGGCTCAGGCGGCCAGAGCGAAGGGAAGAAGCCTGCGTGGTCCCTGCAGCCAGGGGAGGGTGTGGGAGACACAGCAGGAACAACTGCCACTCCCTGGAGCCCATCTTGGTGGAGTCCTGAGATCGAGACTTCCACTCAGCCTTCCGAGGAAGATCCTCCTACGTCCACTCTGCAGCTGAGGACAGTGAGGCACAGAGGCCAGGCGACCTACCCAGGTCCCACTGGAAGTGGGTGGGGCCAGTGGACACTGGCCCGGCTCCTCCCATGCTTCTGGGTCAGCATCTCAGACACCTCCAAAGTCACCAGACCACAGAAGCAGCCCAGGACTCCTCCTTGGGGTCCTCCCCAAACTCAGTGCCTCGGGAGGGCGGCAGAGCCCCACAGTTGGAGGGGGTGGCCCTGCCACCTGCCTCCGACTTTGATTCCCCTGTATCTTCCCTTCGCCACACCCATCCAGCCCACTCCCCGTGCCACTGGAGCTGGGGGCCAGAGCCTGCACTAATGTATTCATGTCATGGCTCTGACTGGGGGTGTTACTTAAGCAGATTAGCAAATTACTCCAACTATACAGTTCTGCTTATCCCTGTAGCTCCCAACTCCTGGGGGTTGGGGTGTTCAGGAAGCTGTCAGTTCTCCCGTTCCTCCCAGCTTGCAGAGAAGGAGGACTGAGGCATCTTCCCTCTCAGGGAAGGGTGGACAGGTGGCAGGGAACAGCTCCTGTACACAAAGCCACAAAGTAGGGCAAGAGCCACAGCTCCCTGGGGTGACAGCTTCCTGTATGTCAGGTCTCTCCTACAAGGTGGGTCCCACACAGCCTGGGGGCAGTGACCGTGTCCATCTGCAAACACAGAAACCACCCAGCACTGTGGCCCTGAGCTGAAGCGCTAACCACAAGTCCATTTTCTGGATATTCACATGAACTTGCCACTCACCAGCTGCATGTGACCTCTGCAGACACAAAAGTATCACAAGCCCCATCTCACACCTGAGGAAGGTTTGCCAGAGGTTACACAAATCAGTAACAAAGTGACTGACAGGGGATTTAGCTCAGTGGTTCCACCACCTGCTTTGCAAGCACAAGGTCCCAAGTTCGATCCCTGGTGCAAAAAGAAAAAGTGACAGACAATCACCAAGGGCCATGGACATCTGACAGACGCTGTGGCAGCATTCTCAAGTGCACACAGCATCGTCAGGCTCCATTGCCTTTAGGTGGATGGGTGCATGGATGAATGGGTGGGTGAGTAGGTGGATGGATGGTGGATGGATGGTGGATGGATGCATGCACAGGTGGATAGACGAATGGATGGACACGTGGATAGATGGATGAAGGCCTGCATTCTTAGATACATACATGGATTATGGATGGGGTGTGCATGCGTATATGATATGCATGCCCACATGGGTGGGTGGGATTTATGGACAGATCAACCAACCCATCCTGAGACAACTCTCACTGCCTCCTTTATACCAACTGACTTCTGTCTCCCTGGATCCTTCCCTTTCTTCCAAACATTTCCTCCAACATTCAGATTCACCTCCCCAATTGTCTACACAATCCTGATTGTCTATCTCTGAGTCTTCTCCAACTGAACCTTCTTTCTTGCATGTGAATGGGGGAAGCAGAACTCAGGCTCTGTAATGATCAGACCATTGTAGAACTGGATAAGTTCTCCTTTCCCTCTCCATTCCAGGGCTGCTACCTCTGCATTCACCTAAGGCTGCATTAATCTTCCAGTGCTCCCAACATCCTGCAGCTGCCACCAGCCTGATGGATAAGAGGTCCAGGGACTACACATGGCTTTCTTGCTTAGCTTCATTGTCCCCACCCTGTTTGGGCAGTGTTGCCTGCATGCCAACACACAGAGGAAATAAATGTAGTTCCCTTTGTCCTTGACTGCTGCTGTCCCTCTGCCACAGCAGATAAGAGGGTTGACATCGGGGGGGGGGGGCTCCCAGCACTCAGATAGGAGCAGCTCCCCTGATGAGATGCAGTGGCACCCGAGCCCCAGGACAGGAAGCATTCTCCAGGCAGATGCAAAAGAGGTCACCCATCAACTCAGACACCACGACATCCTGGCCTCTGCAGACTGAGGATGGGAAATTCAAGAAGCCACTGAGCCAGCCAGTCAGAAGGGCCCCTGGCTGGGCCAGGGGGTTAGTTCAGTGAGTGGGCACCTGTGCTGGCCTTGGTAAGGCTTAGAGGGCAGACAAATGGTTCCAAAAGGCTTTTCTTTCCCACTTGCCTTCACCAACCCAAAGGAAGCTAAGTCTCCAGTCAGCCTGTCCCAAATGCCTACCCTGCTGGGAACTCACTTTCATCTTTAAAGCTGAACCCTGCTGTAAGCCTCCCAGCCCTGGCCAGCTCTCCACAAGTACTGGTTGGACACAGGACACAGTCAAGAGCTTCCAATCTATGCTCCTCCTTGGACAGGGGAGGAAACTGATGTTCACAGAGGACTAGGAAGTTGCCAAGGCCACACAGTGAGACTCAAACCCTGGGCTTCAAATCCTGGCCACTGCCTCAGGGGACACCTGAACAACTGCCACACCAGCCTCTAGTTGGATATATCCAATGGACAGAGTTTGGGGGACCAGAAGGACAAGAAGAAATTCAGGAAGAACATAGCAGTAACTCGAGGGACAAGTTAGACCTTG